TTTTCCTATGTTTCTTCTCCAAGAAAAAAGGGGTAGCTTATTTTCGGAGGTGGCTTATTTTCGGCAATATACGGTATTCAATTAAGTTTAATAATTTACTAACCCAAATAAGAAATTAATTAAAATCATAGTTAAGTATAAGATCATTAATTAACTCCAAAGTTACTTACCCAAATAAGAAATTAATTAAAATTAGTTAATTATGAATGAAAATAAGATTGTTAATTAACTCCAAAGTTACTAACCCAAATAAGAAATTAATTAAAATCATAGTTAAGCATAAGCGAAAATAAGATCTTTGATTAACTCCAAAGTTACTAACCCAAATAAGAAATTATTAAAATTATACATAGTTAAGCATGAGCAAAAATAATAATGCTAAAAGAGAGAATGAGCTTAGTCTATATATGTGAAAATCTAAAATTCATAAAAAAAGATAAAAGAAAAAGTTAGTAATTATGAAAACATTTTTTAATATATAATTCCAAGCAATAAAAATACAATAATCAAATTAAAATAGATTAGATAGATGAAGGTTTTGTAATTATTATAAAAATGAAGTATAAATAAATTAATAAAAATGTCTCAAACTATGGCTTTTTAATAGTCTTATAAGAGATTTTTCTTATCTTTAAGTTCATTTTATTCTATTAACCCTTATTATACTTAAAAATAGCTTCGAGTTACTTTTTTTTTTATCAATAATGCTATATGAATACCTTTTGTATTAGTCATGGATCATTTTAAAAACATTTGTTAGTTCGTCATATGAATATTAAAAAAGCAAAACAATATATAAGACATGATAGTGATAGCGAAAACACACCTATAATTGATAATAATAAGTATAATCTAGAAGATGAAGAAAAAGCAAAGTTAGTTTTTAAAAAGTTATTTCAAAATACTCAAAAGCTAGATAATATAAAAAGCTCATACTGGAAATATACAGGCAACTCTGTTTGAACAAGACAATGAAAATTAAAAGAAAATAAATTAGCAGCAATAGAAAGTCATAAAATAACCCAATTTTTTAGTTTAACAAATAATGTGAATCTAAGTACTAATGATGAAATAGAATACCAGTTAGACTATAAAAGTGAAAATGATTTTGAAGGATCTAAACAGTGGGAGCAACAACTTCAAGAAATAGTTGAAAAGATACAACAGTTAATCGACAATGCTAATATATCAAAACCCTGATAAGGCAAGATATATTTCAGTAATTCATTATATATGGCTATTTTAATATAATACACCTAAAATAGAAGCAAGCCTGACAATAGCAAAAATTCATAATGGAGGTGAGTATTGTACTAATTGTATATGTACATGGGCAAAAACATGCTTAGAAGGAAAGGTATTACCTTTATCTTAATATAGAAAACATCCATCGAAATCATTTCTTCATGATGAATATGTTTTGTTAAAAGTTATGGGATATTTATAAGCTACAAAATTTGAAGTAAATCCACTATTACTTAAACAGTTCTTTGAAACAAAAATTCTTCCTGAACTTTATATTGATCAAGCTTAGACTATTTTTTTATGTACAGTACGATGTTGGTTAAAAAAAATAGGATTTATTTATAAATAATATAAGAAAAGAATATATATAGATGGATATGAAAGAGAAGATGTTGTTGAATATCATCAAAAGTTTTTATAAAAGATAGAGGAGTATGACAGATTAATGCCAAGGTAGTTAGATGCTAACTGTGAAATTTGTGAAGAATTATATCTCTTACTAGGAAAAAAAAACTATATTTTAATTACTTATGATGAGTGTGTTTTTCATTCTTATGATGGCATTAATCAATTTTGGGCACTATACAAAGAACTGCCATTAAGAAAGAAAAGTCTTGGTCCTGGGCTTCATGTTAGTGAATTTCTTACAAAAGAAATTGGAAGATTAAAAGATAAAGTAGAAGAGACGAGAGTAATAATGCAGTTAAGTGCAAAATATAAGGGGTATTGGAATAGTAAAAAATTGTTAAAGCAAGTAAAAACTGCAATAAAAATCTTTAAATGAACCCACTCTGGATACATTGGAGTATGGGTATTTGATAATGCGACTAGTCATACTGTTATGGCATCTGATGCACTAGTTATAGCCAAAATGAATCTATATCCCGGTGATAAACAACCAAAAATAAGAATTTGGAATAGTGAACCGCAAACTATAGTATATTCTGATGATTATGAAGATCCTCTTTTAAGATAACAACCAAAAGGAATGAAAGTATTTCTTGAGAATAGAGGTCTCTAGAATGATGAAATGTTAGCTAACTATGAGACATGTAAAAAAAATGAACAAGATCCTAATATAATTAACTGTTGTACACATCGTCTTGTTGCAAATCAACCAGACTTCTTAGCCGAATATAGTTTAATTCAAAAAGAAATAGAAAAACATGGGTATAAGATAATTATATTTGTAAATGCAAATTTTAATTATTAATACAAGTTACTTTCATTATAATAAAGCAATTAAATCTATTAAAAAAAACTTTGAAAAATTTGAGTATTAAGATTTAAATTTTTCACTATATTATAAATTTACATAATAAGAGTAACTTGCATAATATTTACTACAGGTAATATTTTATCCAAAATTCTATTTGAAGCTTAATTATATTGAGATATACTGGGAAGCAACAAAGAAGCATACAAGAGAAACCTGTGATTATACAATGAAAGGGCTAAAAAAACAGGTACCAATCACACTTGATTCAATCTCAGTTGAACAAATTAGAAGGTATACAAGACTTTCTTATCAGTAGATAGATGCATATCAGAAAGAGCTAAAAGGAAAAGCAGCTGAATATGCAGTTAAAAGATATAAGCATCAGTAAATCTTTAAATAAATATTATTTTCTTTCACCTGTATAAAGACTTATAAAATAAATCATTTTATTGAGTAGTA